ATTACACTGCATTGGTCGCAGTTAATTTAATATATAAATTTCAAAAATAGTTCGCGAACGCGACGGAATTGAAATTAACGAACGAACGTGCTTCTAATCCGTGATTTTAATTATATTTAAACGATCAAACACTCCCGTATATTGATTCGCGCACGATTGCAATGCACGAACACTTGCAACACTTCACAAACACTATTCACAACACTTCCAACGCTGCAATATTCCCATGATGATCTGAAACAGAAATGAAAACAAAATTATGAATATTATTGTTGTAAGAAAAAATTATTATAATTATTAAGAAAGTGTTTAAAATAAAAATTGACTTACGTTTATTCTTCAGTGATGAATGCACGATGGATATCCTATCCTTAAGATGACGATGAACACACACGTTTAAAAAGAATAAAAGAAACTTACGGAGTTTCTTTACCCGAAAAAACGAAACTTTTACATACGGCGTACAACACTGACTCTACTTTCCGATTCTTTTATATTTTTATTTTATCGATGCAACACACGAGTACTTCATTGCCTACGCGCTTGATTGCAATGATGTTCTGAAACAGAAAAAGAAAAGAACAATTAATATCATCGTTATAATAAAAAACCATTAAAGTTATTATAGAAATTTTTCATAGAAAAATATGCTTACTTTTAGTCTTCATTGATGACTGCAGGATGGGTGTCCTACCCTTAGGATGACGATGAATAAAATATAAAAAAATAAAAAATCTGTAAAAAGCTGAAACATACTAAAGATTATATTATATAGTACAATATTCGCTGTTAATCATTCCTGGAGGCATTTCACACATTTTAAAAAATATTCTATCACAAAGATTAGATGTTAGATATAAAAAGTTGTCTAATAAACAATTGTCGAATGTTTTAATAAGATAACACGTTAGAAATAAAATTAATCAATAATTTAATACGTTACATGTTCACGTTAGATCATAACTCGCCGATGGACGGGAGGGGAATGAAATACGTTACTGCTTATTCTTCATCTAACGTTCGGCTGTTTACGTTTTGTTTCGGCTGTCTTTTCTTCTGTTTCATCTCGAGAAATGCCTACAAATATACATACACATTCATAATTGCCTGTAGGTGAACTTTTTGTTTTCTTTTTCTCTCTCTCTTTCCCACTCTCGTTCTCACTCTTTCTATACATTTCTATATAGCTTAGAAAAAGAATAACGCTCGATTAGATGAATATTCCTTTTTTACCCATGCGCAACGTTCGGAAAGTCATGTAAACAACTTTCAATAAAAGTAATTACATAGAAGACAGAGGCTCATTTCAACGTTAGATTTCGAAGAGGACAGTGCATAGAT